CTCCCACTGTATGAGCACAGTCCAGCCTGACCCTGGACTGAATGCGTTTCCCGACTGTGGTTTTAAGCTCTCACAACTGCTAGCAAGATGGCTCCTGTTTATACCCATTTTACAGACTTGAGCAGTAAAATGATTTGCTTAGGTTTACCAAGCTAAGCCTGCATTTAAGCAGCTATACCCCTGCTCCAAGTCTGGCCTTTAAAAAGGAGCTTCCCTTCTTTAGAGCAGCGCCAATCTGGGGGCATGGAAATTGCATTATGCCAAGCAGCAGCTGTTGCAGAGAGCGAGAGTGCTTAGAAAGAGCAGCACAGTGTCCTAATTACCTGCGGCAAGGAAAACATCTGTGTGGGAAAAGTAATGAAATTAATTCTAAAGTCTAGCGGTTGCCTACATTAATTGACATTAATTAATGCCAAATTACAAGACACCTCCTATGGAATCGCATCATACACTCACCAGAATTGAATATGGAAAGAGTTCATCACACTTAATGCTATTACAGCAAGCCCCAAGGGGAATAAGAGTGATTGGTCCCTCATTATGAAGTGCAGCCAATTTCTTTTTGTTTCCATTAGGAGGGGAACGAGAACAAAGCAGGAGCACTTTACCATGGGCAGGCGGTTGGGAATTGATCAGTTCCCCTTCAGCTTGTAGATTTCACTTTGAGCCTATCCGAGCAAGACATGGTTTCAAGACCTCTTCCTGGAGCTTTTCCTGGGTCCTTTGGTTGTACATTTTAAAATTCTCAGCACAAGAACAGCTCGTTGAACAGGTCTGCCTCACTGTGTGGCGTGGGGAGTGGAGAGGGATAGAACTAGCAAAGGAGCTAGAGACGATTCTCTAATTCTTACGAATAGGATCCCGCAAGCCCACCATGACCCTTGGCCACCTTCCCTGGCTGAGAAGTGCTGACCACAGATTTGCATGCCAGTTGGTTGTCTGCTTCTCTCATATCACTGCCTCTGTACTAGTGTTGATGTCTCGTATATATCTATTATTCATTTTCCCCATGCAAACATACATATGTAGATATCTATATATACCACTTGCACAAAATCATGTCCATATGCACATATTTTGGTAACCTACTTTTTAAAAATTTTATTTTGGAATAATTTTAGATAAACAGAGAAGTTACCAAGATAGTGCAAGCTTTAACCAGCATCCCTTAATGCGAACATCTTATACAACCATGATCTATTTTTCAAAGCTAAGAAATTAACAGTGATACAACATTATTAGTTGGTAACTATTTTATTATATAAAATGTATTAAGAATTTCTGTAAATCCTAATATAAGGATTCATAACAAGCTATGCACGTTCTACAATCTGTTTAGCTGTGCCTCAACTGTTGGCCATTGTGTTTTCTCTTACCTTTTTAAATTATAAACAACACTATGGTGAATATCAAAGTAACTAAATCTTTGCATGGTTCATTGATTATTTCTTCAAGTCAAATTCTCAGAAATGAACTCACAGTCAAAAGAGATTTTAATAGATGTTGATCCTTATTGCCAAATTACCTCATTAAAACATAAACATACAGTTGTTCTTTCTTTCTTCTTTCTCTCTCTCTCTTTTTTTGTATCTAGGTTTGTCCATTGATAATTTTGAAGCCAAAACTTAACAAAAATTGGCCCCAAACTTGCTAGGGTTTTTCATGCAATGTAGTGGGAATAAACCAGACTAGGAGTCTGGCCAACCCAGTTTGAAAATCCATACTGCCCTTTCTATAATCTCCAGGAGCTTCATTCTCTTTACCTGCAAAAATCAGTTGATAAATTATATGCCATAGTATTGTGACGATTAAGTGTACCAAATGAATGTGAACATGCTTTAGAATACTTGGCACATAAATGCACAGCAAATATTAGTTTCCCTATTCTTTTAATTTCTCCCCAAATCCCTCAGATTCATAATTTCCATATAGTTAAGTTATAAATATAAAGAGTTTATTTTTATATTTTCCATCTTATGTTTGTTCAGGGACCTTTGAAGAGAAAATTGAAGTCTTAAGAAAGAAATTATTAGACAACACTACAAAAAAAACAAGCACAGTGTACTCATCAAGAAATCCTCATGAGGTGGCAGTCTTAGGAATTCTAATTGGAAAGCTGTATTTGTAATTTGAAGCCCGAGACTTCCTCAGTCAGAACCTTTAATGCAGATTGTTTTCATTCATTATCTCACGTAACAAGAAGCATGAGAAAGGGCAGCTCTGGGTTCAGTACAGTCAGATGCTCAGTGTTGTCATCAGGGAATGGGCCCTTTCCATCTCTTTGTCATATTCATTATGGAAGCTCAACTGTAAGACTCCTCCATGCTCAGCAAGGCTAGAGAACTTCCAGACATCAGGTTGACACAGTGTTGTGTGGGGGCAGAAGAAGGTCTTCTGCTATGCCTCCCTGTAGCCCCTTATAACTTCTTATTTACTAGAATTGGATTTAAAAGGCCTCTCCTAAAGCAAATGATGGTAGGTGGAGTAGGAAGACTTGAAGTAAACACAGACCAAGAGAATTATTCCCTGCATATCAGAGCTTCTGAGTGACACGGGAGAAAGATGAGCGATCAGGTCCATATTGGCTTTTCTGGCAAAGAGGTAGGGAGGAATGAGTATTGGACCGGTCACCAATAGTAATCAGTAGTGAAATATAACTGGAATACTCAAATTCAGTTTTTTAAAGGACCTACAATGTGCCCCAACATGATCTAATCATTGTGAAAGGTTGCAGAAGGGAAAAATAGAAACATAGTTTTTATACGACTTCTGAGTTTCAAAACATTTAGCATATATATTATTTCAGTTACTTCTTAGAACCAAATTATGAGATAGTTGACACTGGCATCCTCATTTGAGAAAGGACAGTGATGAGACTCAGGGAGGTGAAGCGGTGTTCTCTGAGAGATGCAACTAGGAAGTGACCACAGCAGAACTCAAACCCAGGTCTCATAGATGCCAGTCTCCTTTTCTGTGATCCTGAGCTGCCTTCTAAAAGGCAGAAGACAACTGAAAGCTCTGCAAGGGTCTGATAGGGTATGGAATGGTGAGGTAAAGATTTTGTGTCCCATGAAGAGAAGTGTTCTGGGAAGAAATGAATCCCAGAAATTCTCTTCAGAGATGAAGATCATGAATTATGTCCTAAAATGAAACTATTAATATAAGAATGTCTAAATATTAGGTGGGGAAGGGAGAGTAGAAGTCTTTTCTTTAGTCGTTCTTTGGAGGACTAGATGGGTTAAAATATATACTTGAGAACTATTTCCATCCCCACACATGGCAGCAGGATAAAGGAAGACTGGATAAGCTCTGCTCTTTCCCTCTCAGAGCTTATCAGTAACTGTCAGCCATTGGTCAGTTGGAGCAAATGTGCATGTCGCCCCCTAGTGGCACTGCTTGTAGAGTACAGGTTTGCCCAGGTTCTTTAAGTAAAGGTAGTGCTAGAAATTTCCTTCAGGGAAGTCATCAGTGAATCCTTATATCCAACTCACAGTACAGTTGCCTACCCCCATTTCATGTATATAATCATGTCCTTATTTCCCCACTTGGAAGAGTGTATTTCTTCATACATCTTTGTATGTCCTAAAATCAAACTCACCCATTCATTAAACATCAAAAAAAGGTAAAATAATTTCCTTTTTTGTTCAAAAAGATATATTCCAGTAAGGTGGCATGTTCCAAAAAATATTTCTTTATTATGTACTTTGTGCTGATTTGATTCATACTTAGATTGTGATAAGTTCCATGAAGGGAATTAACAGGATGGAGTGTTATTGAAAAGCGATCATAGGAGACCCCCAGAAATAACGGTAAGCTGAAATCTAGATTTTTTTTAGACAACAACCTGGGCAGATGCCTTTAGGACAGAGGGGATACAAATGTAAAGCCTCTTAAGTGGTAGGAAATTTGGTCAAATTTCTAAACATATTTTAGGTCAGATTAGAAGAATCAGCTGGAGAGAAGAGAAGCATGAGGGGAGGTTGGCGCAGGACTGACGGAAGGTTTGAATGCATTCGGGAGTTCTGCAAAGGGAATTCTGAGTGACGTCTGATTCGCAGAGAGGGCAGAATAGTTGTGGCTGCAAAACAGAGACAGCCTCCCTGGTACAATATATTAATACTGTCAGCAGCAGGGGTCAAATCTGTTAAGAGTCATTTTTACTGGTATGTTTATCACCTGCTCTAGGCTCAGGTGAGGGCTTTCCTGGTAGCGCAGACGGTAAAGCGTCTGCCTACAATGCGGGAGACTCGGGTTCGATCCCTGGGTCGGGAAGATCCCCTGGCGAAGGAAATGGCAGCCCACTCCAGTATTCTTGCCTGGAGAATCCCATGGACAGAGGAGCCTGGTGGGCTACAGTCCGTGGGGTCACAAAGAGTCGGACTCGACTGATGGACTTCACTTTCATTTTCTTTCTCTTCTAGTCTCAGGTGAGAGGCAGGGCCTTAGTTTACTCAACTATAAAATGAGAGCAATGTTTTTGAGTAGGGAAGCTCTTCTCAATTCTGTTTTATTTCCAATTAGTAATAGAAGAAAAACCTTTATCTTGACATAGGACCTTATTGTTTATACCAGTGCACTTCTAGCATGAGATGACCAATGATTTCATGTATGTTTGTGTGTTTCCCTATTTATCAAAGATCAGAGTATGGAGGTGAATCCTATTAATCAGAAAAATAACTAAGAAAGCACAAGTATTATTGCCAGCTTTTGAATTTTTTTTTTTTCATTTTGGTTTGGAAGGAAAAAAATTTAGTTAATAGAATTTAGTATTCTAGGATGACGAGAGTTGGTGGAGGCACTGGGAAATTGTGGTGGTGGTGTTGATAGCGAGTGAGCAAAATAATCATGAAAATTTAAACAATAATAATAACAACAGTAATGTAGTTAATAGAGAACGTGAGGTTTGTTGAAAGAATTGCAGATAGCAAGAGAAACAGAATGGCTACTGACTCTAATGCTGTGTGTATATCACCCCACCCCCATTTTTCTTTTTTTTTCAGATTCACAGTACCTAACCTGCCGAATGCAGAACTGCACAGAGGCCAACAGAAATAAACCTTTCCCAGGCTACATCGATCCAGACTCTCTGATTGTCCAGGATGATTACGTGTTTGTTCAGGTATCAAAGATCCGCTTCCGCTGATTGTCTCAGAGACATTTCCCTTCCCTGCTTCTAATGCAGCCCCTTCACCTGCTTGCCCTCCCTGAAGAACAATAGAGAAAGAAGCAAAGGCATTCTTTTTTTTTAACGAAAGGAACATTACCAAGTTGAAGCTTCTATACTAACAGAATAGTAATTCCTTCTATTGCCTGTGAATTTGAAGTTATTGCTTCTTAGTGAAAGAATTCAGAGATAAAGTAATTGGTAAGAAGTGGATGTATTTGGAGAGAAACACAGTCCACAGACAGAGTGTGGGCTATCTCAGAGGGTGAGTGAGAGTTTAGAAGTACGGCACAGTTAGTTTTTACAGCCTGGTTAATTTCATAAGATAATCAGTGGGAGGATTATTCCAATTATTTGGGGGAAGAGGCAGGCATTTCCAGGAATTGGGCCACCACCCACTCTTTGACCTTTCATGGTTGCCCTCGGAACTGTCATGGCACTGGTTGATGTGTCTTTTTGCGTGCTAATGTATTACAGTGAGTGTATAACGTGACTCACGGTGCCTTGAAAACAGAATCTTCCCGCCATCTTGGACCCAGTTGGTTCTAATCAGTCTTTGTCATGTCCTATGACGTGTCATTCTTTTAAAGGTTGTGCCCTCTTTCCTCCTGTTTCACTTCCTTGGGGCAGTGTCTGGAGGATATGTCAAAACGGGGTCCTGGGGACATTGCTCTGAATGTCAGTGTCTATTGACATTGCATTCATCCTCGTCACATCACCTGCATTTCAAAGAGGCTCCCTTCAGTCGTCAATAGGACTGAGCAGATATGTCAGTCTCTTCCTAGAGCAGTTAGCCAACAAGCCTCCTCTTCAGAACCTGCCTTAAAAATAGAGAGCCAGGCGGTAACAAGCTGTGGGGCGGCTGGAGGTGGTGGGAGGCAGAGCCAGTAATCAGCCATTATTGTCAGGCACTGCTGTGATTAGGATCAAGAGAATTTAGATGAGACATTCAGGCGGGTTTTTCACCTCCAGAGAGAGTGGAGAACAATTTGAGAAACTGGGGGTTCAGGAGCAATTAGAAGAGAGAAGGAACAAGTATCCTTTGTTTCTTTTTGCAGTTAATAAAACTTTAAACTTGTTTGGACGAAGCATTTAAAAACTCAGTTGTTGCTTTTCATGTTAAAATTGACAAAGGTACTATTGCTAAATAGTTTATATATATATATATTTATATATATATATATATAATGCACATACATGCAATTTCACTATGATTGAGACATTCTAGACACTACTATATTTACTCGGGCAAGAAATTATAATTTAGAATTTTTGATCCCATATATTGAAAAGCAAATGGTCAAATTCCTTATGTACTTTTAAACTATTTCACAATTACACACACACACACACACACACACACACACACACACACTCTTCCTTTTTTCTTCAGGAAAATGAGTAATGAGAACTCTGATAACTTCAGCATCAAATTATCAAGTGACATTAAAATGGGAAATGGTTACCCATATTGGTTCTATATATAATTCATTTCTCCATCAGTGTCGCTTCCAGGGACCTTTTCTGTTTTCTATTAACAGTTTATAATCCACATATATGACTTACAAATGAAAATCAAGTGTGCCTTTAGAGTTTTATATATACTTTTACCCAGGCCACTATGAATATATAACCCATTGCTAGGACTAAAAGAGAGCTGGCCACATCATGGTGAATATGATAACTTTCCAGTCACATTTTTATGTGTCTGATGAAAATTCACCCAGAGCATTTGTTGACATTCTGAGTATGCAAAGCAACTGACTTCAAACTCCAGGTGTTTATATGAGTTACGAGTGGCAACAGGAATCCAGAGAAACTGAGAGTGAAATGGTGGTTTTCAGAGGCTAGGGAAATGGGGAGATGCTGGTCAAAGGGTATACATGTCTAGCTATAAGTTCTGGGGATGTAGTATACAGCATGGTGGCTATACTGTATTATATACTTGAAAATTATTAAGAGAATAAATCTGAAATGTTATCAACATACACACAGACACACACACACATAATCTTAATTAAATGAAAAGATGAAGGTGATTGCTAACCTTATATGTGGTAAACATTTCATAATATATATGCATCAAATCATCATATTGTACACTTTAAACCTGCATATGTTATGTGTCAATAATATCTTATTAAAGGGGTATTAAGGGAGAGTTTGGCAGTGCACCCCAGACCCCCCACACCTCATGGTGCTCAGCTGAGGGAGACCACACCACTCCTCCCCCTCCCTCAGACCCACAGGGTTCTTTGGGCTGTACATCCTGGACAGACCTGGGGCAGTAGCTCACCATTTTCTTCTGGGAGGGAGAGATCGAGAATGATTTAGAACCATGATCCTGGCTGGGCCTTCCGTCTATCACGTCAGCAGCACTGCTGTGTGTGGGACAGGTGCACAGCCAATGGTGGGGCTGCATGAAACTGGAATTCAGTGCCCGGACTGGGGGCTCCAGTCCTGCCACTGTGTGACCTGGCCCGTTCCCTTTTGGTATGGCACAAGGATCTGTTTGTGTGGTCACAGTCTTGGGGCTAGGGAGAGGTGGGTTGCTGAGGGCTCTGATCCAATATAGCCTCAGGCTTATGTCAGTTAAAAGAAAAGTAACCAAAATTCTTTCCCGACTTCTGAGCCACAGGGCAAGTAGAAGAATTGTGTTTCTGTTAAGGGGGTTCAGTTGGGGCTCTGACCAACTCACGTAGACCGAGTTGCTTTGAAAGGGAGCGCCAGTGCTTTCCGCTTGCCCACAGGAGGCACTCGCCTGTCGTGTTGGTACCTACCCCTTCCGCGCAGAGACTGCTCTGTGACCTGACCCCTTTTACAGCCTTTGTGTTCACCTTGCAGCTGACATCAGGGGGCCGGCCACATTACTACGTGTCCTACCGAAGGAATGCGTTTGCCCAGATGAAGCTCCCCAAGTATGCTTTGCCTAAGGTATGGCCTGAATCACCTTCTCTATTTCTATTCTTTTTCCCAAGGACCCTTTCAGTCTCTTGTAGTTATTATTTTTTTTTAATCCCCCATCTCCATTTCTCAAATTCACTTACATTCTTTTTTGCCCATCTCAGTATCTTCCTTTCTGTCTCAGTGGCCCCTCCCTTTCATACCCCTCTTTTCCTCTCTCTTGCTCTGATTCTTTGGAATTCTTACTACAGCTTACTATCAGAGTAAGCTGATAACTGATTTGCTTTTGCTTGTTAAGTGGTATGTATTGGCTTTTAGCAAAACAGAAACTATGCTTTGGTCACACAGTATATAAGAGCAACAGGTATGATACATATATATTCTGATCTGTTATTATTTACGAAGTGATACAGCCACTGTATCACAGATAGCAGCACAGCTAATTTTTTAAACTTTCGCCAAAACATATTCCTTTGAAAACAGAGGCAGATAAGAGACTCCCAACAGCTAACATCCCCAGGCTTTCTCTCCAGAAACCCTGAAGAACTGTGTTAATACGGAGCGCCACCTAGTGGAAGTGAGACTTACTCAGGCGCTCAAAGTTGTGGATTTGCGGTCTTGTTGCCACTGTGATGTATTTTAAGTGGCCATAACTTGTTAATACACCGTGCCCTTCTTTCTAGCAACAATCACTGAAATGTGTCTTCATTTAAAAAAAAATGTATTGAACTATAGTTTATTTACAATATTATATTAGCTTCAGTTGTACAAAATAGTCAATATTTTTTTCTAGGTTATATACTCCATTTAAAGTTATTACAAAATAATGGCTATATTTTCTTGTATTGTATAATATACCCTTATTTATTTTATACATAGTAGTTTCTGTCTCTTAATCTCATGCCTTTATCTATCCCCTCTAGCATTCTCTTTCCCCACTGGTAACCACTATTTTGTTCTCTATGTCTGTGAGTCTGCCTCTCTTTTGTTACATACATTTGTTTGTCTTATTTTTTTAGATTCCACATATAAGCTATAACAGAAAATGTGTCTTTCTCTAACTTATTTCATAAGCATAATTCTCTCTTGGTCCACCCTCATCACAAAAGGCAAGATTTCACTCATTTTTATGGCTGAGTAATATTCCATTGTATATTGATACACATAATGGGACATATATGTGTACACACATGCACGTACACACACACACACACACACATACACGTATTTGGGTGCATTTGCCTTTTTTAATTAGTGTTTTGTTTTCTTTGACTATATACCTAGCAGTGAAATTGGTGGATCATATGGTAGTTCTATTTTTAGTTTTTTGAGGAACCGCCATACTATTCTTCACAGTGACTGCGCCAATTTACATTCCCACCAACAGTATACTAGGGTTCTCTTTTCTCTGTATCCTTGCTAATCCTTTGTAGACTTTTTGACGATAGCCATTCTGACAGGTGGGTGTGTTGATCATGAAACAAGGGAGGTATATGTGGCTATAAGAAGGGGGGAGTGTAGGTTTAAATGCAGCTCAGCTTTGAAATCTTTGGTTGAACAAGGAGCATCAATGACTTCTTTCCAATTGTATTTTCATGACTCTTTGTCTTGTGTTTCTGTCCCTGAGTTTGTAATATGCTCTCTTGGACCAGTACCAGCTTCCTGCCCAGGGACCCTGTGATAGATACAGCACAAGGGCACTGCAGGTCTTCTCTCCCAGGAAAGCCAGTGGTTTCTCCAGGCAGAATCCTCCTTCTTGGCATCACTCTGCCCCTAACCCTAGCGTAGTGAAAGGTGAGCTGTAAACTTCAGCCCATTAGAGGTAGTAACACACATTAAATTATGCTGTTAACTTCAAAAAACTATTTCCATGTGAGTAGTTACTATTTTCAGCTGCTGAGAGATTAATAACAGTGGTAATTGCCCAGAACTGTATGCCTGTGCCTGTATATGTTTAAATGCTCCTCACTCGTGATTTAGCCTGAACTATTTTACACAAAGACAAACACAACATTGGAGCTGTGCCTTAAATGAGAATTGGATAAAGTCAGTAAAAGAAATGTTTAGTGTTGTTAAAATTGCCCTTGGTAATCTTTTAGGGAGCTCCATGAGGGAGATGATCATGTTTTCTTGGTAAGTTCAACAGAGCTGGTGGTTGTATTTGTTTTGTTTTGTTTCCCCTGAGCACTGAAATAAGTTTCTGACTTTGATTGACCAACAAATGAAATAGTTGGCTTGCAAGATTTGCACCTTTAAAAACAAGAATACACTCAATGCAGTGAGATGCTTCTGTTCAAAAGGCATGTGGGAATTGGGACCAAATCAGGAAACAGCATATCTGAGTCACTCATCTCATGCTTACTTCCTCTTAGGAAGATATTTTGTGAGTGGAATAAGTTTCAGCTAAACTAAATGTTACTTGCTGCAGAATCAAGGCTAAAATATAAGTCTTTGGACTCCCAGAGCAGCATTCCTTGTTTTATACCCTTCTACTCTCAAAATAAATGAATAGATTCTATAACTAAAAGGGAGCAGCACCGCCCACCCCCCAGATTTTTATACACTGAGTAGCGTCCAAAGAAAAAGTCCCATTGATCTAAGTTGTCTCAGAAATGGTAGTTTAAAATCAGAGAAATCACTTTGGTCCTTTGACTGGAGTGTTAGGAAAAGCATACTTTGCATTGCTTTTTCATAGCCATCACACCAATCACTGTGGATGATCGCTCCCAGTGGTATCGTGCCAATCTGGAAAGAGAAGTTTTACTTTGAGCCTGAACCGGCTATCTGTACCCCCCCACCCCATGCCACTGTCTCAGATGAGTGTTTTCCATTACTCAGCCTCATCTGAGGTCTGAGGATAGAATGCGGTGATTAATTTAGCTTGTTCCCAGAAAAATCAGAGCCACTACAGCTAATGAATGTATTATTTGGTCCAAGTAGGTGTTTATTATTTAAGGCAAAGAGATGCCTCGTTACAATCCCATTACACCTTCAAAGAGAAGCCTCAGCTTGGGTGGGGTGATCCATGGCAAAGCTGCGTATGTTTCATGACCTGCTATCAAACCTTTTCCTGCTGCAGCAAGAAAGGAGGAAAGCTCCATGCTCATTGAAAGAACGGAGATAAAAGCCAGAGCTTCCATGCTCAAATTTTCTTTAGTCATCCCCTTCCATTGCATCAGCTCTGAAAAGACTGAGGTTAACCTGAGCTGTATTAAAAAATAATAATAATACAATGGCAAAGATGGTCGGAAAGCAGGGTGGGGAGATTTTAACATTGCTGTTACTATTAAGAGCATGAGGCCCAGCAGAAAGGGAGAGTTAGTGACCGTTTTCCTCCCTTACCAACCTTGGAGCTCATTCTGAGCTACTCAAGTGAGATAAATGAGGCAATACATATGAAAGTGCTTGGAGCATTTTGGAGGACAGATACTCTATAAAAGCAAGGTAATATTATTATTAGTATGGATCTAGTTGTCTGTGTTGGAGAAGATCGATGTGAACTGGGGTGTGGGTGATGAAAAGGCTGCTTGATTCACAGCGAGAGACCCTAATTTCAGACCTAGATCTGTCACTCACCTGCTCTGAACCTTGGGCTGGTTTATCAATTTCTCTGGTTTATTTTTCCTTCTTCTTCTTTTTTTTACATTTTTTTAAATACAGAGCTTATATTCACAATAATATTTTCTGAAATGTGCTACTCAATAAAATGCCTTTAGAGATGCTTCATGAAAATTTGGTTTTATGATCGAAAGTTTAAAAAAGGAAACAAACTCCATTCCATGCTCCTTGTGTGGAGACTAACAGAAGCTCACCAGTATTTAAAGGTTCTAGGGTGTCCTGTGAGCAAGAAAGCTGTATAATTTGCATTCATCAAAACATTTTACAGAGGGACCCATTAAAAAAGAAAAACAATATTGATGTCTTATGGAACGGACATTAGGAAATGCTCTAAAAGATCTCAGAGTTCACTTCTTGGTCTAAAATTTTGTGTCTCAGTATGAGTTTTCAACATGAAGTGCCATTTTGGGAGAAATAGCATGTTTTCCTGATATAAGGGGATGTAGGCAAGAAAAGGAAAAATTGTGTTTAAATATATCATAGGTTTCAATTAAAATATTTAAGACAATGGCATCTGTCATTTTTAAACAGTCTATTCAATAAAATTAGATTATATTTAGAGAAAGAAATCTATCTTTGGCCCTTATCTGGTGATGACCATTTAATCTGTTGGTTTTTAATTAATTGATTTTTAATTAAAGGATAATTGCTTTACAATGTCGTGTTGGTTTCTGCCATACATCAACATGAATCAGCCATAGTTCTGTGAATAGTTCTCTAAATGGCTTAAACACTTAAAAGCATCCATGTTTTCTCTTCCACATCTACCAAGGACAAGTTTAAGTGTGCTGGGATAATATAGATGATTTACTCTGGCCCCTAAGATTGTTTAATGCATCGTCTATTTGTGGCCCAGACCTTGGAGGTTCATGAGGGCACTGATTCACTCCAAAGAAACAGAGGTGGGAATTAGTTATGTGATGTTTGGGTTAGTGCTGAAATATTTTAGCTTGAACTCAGGGATGATGCTCCACCCCGCTGACAAGAAAGGAAACATGAATTGGGAGTATTTGTTTAAGGGTTCTAAATGCTAGGGTAAGGATGTTGATATTTGTCTTGTAGGAAATGGGGAACCATTGGCCCTCCATGGATGAATGACCCTTGGGCTAATTTCCACAGTTAATTGCTTCCATTAGGGGAAAAAAAAAAAAAACATGTGGATGAACCACTTCTTTTTTAAGTGTGTTAGTATATATGTAATATATATAAATATAATATTTCAATACCCTAATATTTGCAATGAACAGAAAGGCCAAATCAATCTGGCTTAATCAACAAAGGAGATTTAGGGTTTGTGTAACTAAAAATAGCTAGCATGTATGGTTCCGGGGCACTGTTTGTTAAATGCTTAATACTTACTAACTGATTTAATCCTTTCAGCTCCATGAAGGACATACTATTATCTCTAGTTTGCAGGTAGAAATTCTGAAGCACAAAGTTCTGTTCACACAGCTACAGAGCTAGGATTTGAACTTAGCTTTATTTAAAAACCGATCTTTCAATCATTTTGCTTTACTGTCCTCTCTAAAAAGTTCACACGTGGCCAGACTTCTTAGGTATCCACATTCAGAGACTCCAAGGGTGTCACAGAATTTGAACCATCTCTCTTTACCTTTTGAACCTACTTTTTTTTTTTTTTTTTCTGGATTGGCTTATCCTCTACCTGCAAGATATGTCTCAAACAGATCTAGATTTTATTTTTTATTCTGATTGCTTGCAAACTAACAGTAAAATATAATTTCTCTCTCTCTGTAGTAATTCACAGTCATTCTCGAATCATGTCTTACTGAGTTTGCTTGGGTGGAATGTCCATTGCCAGTCCAATCAGTGTTCCCTGAATGCTAGACCTGCAAGATCACTTCTGGTGCTGAGGGTGGGAGAAAGTAGCAGAGACGGAGCATAGAGGGAAATTTGTCTGAGAGGGATGAGAATGTTTTTCAAAGAATATCAAGCTACCGTTGCCAGAAGAAATGTACATAAGAAAAATAAAATGTACATAAGTAAAGTCATACATTGGACAGCTTTTATACCAAACCTCACTTTGCATTATCAGCCACCTTGGATCCATGGGCAGGATTCATTGGTGGGCTCCTGACTCTGGATTGTTTCTATAAAATTGTAATCAGACTCTAGAGTGTGGCAGTAAGGTCTGAGAAGGACTCAGGAACACGAAACCCTTTGAGTAAGGATGTCTTCCTTCTAGAATCACGTGAGTTCACCAAGATCAACTTGAAAGAGGAATGAGAGATTCATTCCTCTGTGTCTAAAGCAGACCTGAAGCTGAATTGCTGACTGATGGATTGAGAGAATATGGGCAGAGGTTGTAATGAGAAATTTAGAAGTTAGGTAGAATTGGAGTTGTTGTCAAGCAAGACTGACAGATCTCCTGAAGCCTTTCAAGGAGAATGGATGATTCCTCTTGGAGAATCTGAGCCCTGAGCTACACAAAGGCCAAGGATCTTTCAGTCTGTTCTTCTGCCTTTAGGCTTATGTGTAATTCTGTTTTTGTTTTATTTTGATTTTTGGTTTTTAAAGTAATACCGATGTGTACCACCTTGGATGAAGGGGGAAAGGTTGCTGAGGGCAATGAGCTGGCATCCTTGAGGGAGATGGCAGGCCTTGGTCTGAGACAGCAAGCACTGGTCTGTGTCAGTCTCGCCCTGAACACCTACTCCTCTGGGGTCAGAAGTTGGGGAGAAAGGATTCAGAATCCCCACCTCAGGGGATTCTGCTCACTGCCTCTCATTACCTCTGCCTTGTTTCTATCTTCCAGGACAAGCAGAGTCTGAAAACATCATCAATTATGCAGAGTGTTTTTTCCCTCCTTTATTTAAGGTTTCCTGATGAACTTCTCAGGGTACAGGTTTAGATAAACTAAGACCTAGAATGCTCATTAACCTGAAGGTTAGTACTCTGGGGTCTCAGGTAAACATTTTTCCTCTGGGACTTCTAGGGCTTGCTGAGCCTTAGGAAAGTGTTTCTCAAACTTGGATGTATATATTATCCATCCATGGATCTTATTAAAATACAGGTTTCTATTTGACAGGTGAGGCCCGAGGTTCTGTGTGTCTAACGGTCTTACCAGTGATGGTCAAGCTGCTGCTCCATGGACCACAATGAGAGATGCCAAGCTTGTCTGTTTTCTCTCTGTCCCTCGTTCTGTCCTGTATGTGCCTTCTGAGCAGGTACTCTGTGTTTTGCACATTTATCAGGATGCCTGCTTCTCCAAAGTCATACATATTTGAGAAATTATCCTTCAACTTATCTAATGAGGCAATTAAATTGTAACTGAGCTCCCAAGCATCTCTCTGTCTTATTTTCTGATGACCTTACCTTGTAAGTGGCAAAGGAAATATGTGACTAACGCTCAGCTAATTATTATTTCACAGGTACACAAAAGGAAAATCCCTATCCTCCCTCACACTACCTATGTGCCTGCCCTGGTCTTCATCATCTTCACATTCTGTGGACACACGCCAGGGGCACGTATAAAATGTTCTTCCTCTCCCCTTCCCGGTGTCTTTCCTCAGGACATGCATGTCATCAGCACCGATGAGAACCAGGTGTTCGCAGCGGTCCAGGAGTGGAACCAGAACGACACGTACAACCTCTACATCTCAGACACACGTGGAGTCTACTTCACCCTGGCCTTAGAGAACGTCCAGAGCAGCAGAGGGCCTGAGGGCAACGTCATGATCGACCTCTATGAGGTATGTCACAAGGCCTGTGTGTCTTAAGCCACTGCGGTGCTTTGACCGGCCGTCAAATGCCACAGGTTGGCCCTTCCCTCAGTCATTTTAATCACTAGCCCCTTATGTGGCCTCAGTCTCTTTGGGAGAGGGAGGGGATTGCAGAACATTTATATTGGTTAATTTATAATTCACAAGACATCTCTGGGAAAGATTCTTTGTTGACCAAGTCCAGAGGACTTGGAAAGTGTCTGGGGAAGCAGTCAGGTAATTAAAAGGTTTGAAGAAGAGTGGGCCTAGTATGAAGTTTGAAAATAGTCTTAAAGGACTAGTAGATGTCAGGGGTGGAGCAAAGTGACCGGCAGTGCTCTCTTAGGTCTCTAAAGAAAGAACTAAGGGAATGTCTTTGCATTGCATCAGAACACACTCCCTTGACAAATGCTTTACCTATGTAATTCATGCAGAATATTGAGCAGAGTTCTCTGTGCTATGCAGTAGATCCTTGTTTGTTACCTATTTTAAATATAGCAGTGTGTACCTGTCAATCCCAAACTCCTGATCCATCCTTCATAAATGTGTAACTGAGTCTTTTTGCTGTACATGTGAAATTAACACAACATTGTTAATCAACTATGCTTCAATATAAAATAAAAATTGAAAATTATTGTAGCTAAATATTGGGGAAAAAAAGAAGACACTCACTTGGACTTGAAGACCTTTCTTGACTACATAACCTCTACAGGCTGATTGTCGTCTTCTCAGGGGTCCAATGTATGAGATAAGATTGCTATACCTCAGTAAAGCTATTTTTTAAAATCAGATCAAAACTACAAAAACAGTAAAAAGGCCAGTGGTTACCAGGAGTTAGGGAGGAGAGAGGGATAAATAAGAAGAACACAGAAGATTTTCAAGGTTGTGAAACTATTCTGTATGATACTGTAAGTGGCTATATGTCACCATACAATTGTCAAAATCCACTGAATGTACAGTACCAAGTATGAACTATGGACTTTGGGTGATAATGATGTGTCATTGTAGGTTTAAAAAAAAAAAAAGATTCCTATGTCTTTCTTTTCCTAAAGGGGGCTGAGGAGGAGAAACCAAAAAGCAGAGTTTACCAGATTTCCTTAAGGGAACTCTGACCCTTTTTTCTCAGAAGGATCAGGTTCAAAATAAAGTCACGTGTTGGCTCAGTTAGCTTTCATGACAAACACCAACACTTTACTGGCTATTTAAAGGAGATTCAGGTAAAAGAAAGCTGCTATTTGGGGACGGATTTTATCCATTTGCCAGTCTTGTGCTGTGAAGGATTCATAGTGGGTTATAATGAACCATTACAAAACGTATTTGGGATTTGGGAAGTGCAAACATCTACTTATATGCTATTGAAAAACAGTTATAAAACTGATTTAAATATGTCCAGTCACAATACTGCCATTTGGTTGAGGATAAGCTCAAAGAATATAAGTTGTTTGTGTGATGAGTAGAAAGGGACTCATATCCAGTTATGTCAAAGAAAGAAACCAATTTCACTTAAGAAACTTAAACCTGTCATTGGAATTCTTTTAATGCTCTCTGTATTCCTTCATCTTTAGGTATTTGGGGGAATTTTCTTCTAGTATCTGAACTTCTCTGTATGTATGAAGGCATGTTAGCAAACTGTAAGCACAACTCTGAGCTCAAGTATTTGTAATGGAAATTATAGTAGACTAACACAGGACATAGTTTGTGTGTATATATTTAGGAAAATACCCTGCAAACTTTTTATGCAGTCACAAATTTCTTCCACTTCATTTCCTGCCCATGTTCCAGATAAATATAGCATCATATATCTCAGCCTCAAACTGAACATGTATTCTGGAGAACATTTACATATTCTAGTGATTTACTTTCAAATTCATGTTGGATAAAATTGTGATTTAGGGTGTAAATTTTGGAGTCAAGCAGGCTGGGCGTAAATCCTGGCCATGCCACATATATATCTCCGTGAGATAAATCCAACAATTTTTGAACCTTAGTCTCCTTGTTTAAAATAAGGGGATAAAGGTAATATCTCCTTGATAGGATTTCTTTGAGGATGAAATAAGCTAATCTTCTTAAAGTACTGTGAACAGTGCCTGAAATATAGCAATACTCAACAGATTATAGATAGTATAATAAATATTACATTCCAATGAGTTTAAGTCTGAAAACAGTGTTCTAGTCTTATAATCTTAAAACCAACCCATATTATTTAAATGCCCAATGTACTTCCACTGTCCAGGATCTCTACTTCCTCCTGTATTGCAGTTAGCAAGGCCACATGCCATCCTTTATCACCAAAGTTGTCTTATGCCGTGCATGCATGCTCAGTCATGTATTGACTCTTCTCAGAGTGTGTGACCCCATAGACTATAATCCTCCAGGCTCCTCTGTCCGTGGGATTTCCCAGATAAGAGTGGGGATCTTCCCAACCAGGGATTAAACCCGGGTCTCCTGCATTGCAGGCAGATTCTTTACCATCTGAACCTTTTCTTATAAACAAATGTAAATTGCCACATTTCAGGCCTCTTTTGTAAATATCATATAAACATTATGTGTGTTTTGTTGAAATATCACATGTTTTCTTGCTTTGATCCAGTGTTTACAGTGGAAATATCTTGCTTTGAGAGTGTGAAATCTACTCAACTGTCCCACAGTAATCAGACAGTTGGGCTCTCTGGCCTCGGATCTGTCCCTGCTCTCTTGAAAACATTTTCTGATTTTCAGGTGGTGTTTTTCCTTCCTGATGACCTTCTCCCTCTTTTTAAATCCATGTGGAATAGTTTCTCTGGTTAATTTTATTTTCTGCCAAAATGGAGAACATTTTAATTAGTCCCTTGATGATGGAAACGATGACTGATTTGAACAAGAATGACTTTGTCATGTCCTGTTATTTGCAACTGTTTCCATGAATGGTTTTCTCAAATAAAAAATTACTAACAGGCAGGGACTGAGAAGAGGAACCAGAGGGACTCTGACCACGGCCAGCCATTTTTTGGTAACCTTTATGTTTTCCCTTTGCACCTCTCCTTTCGGTTGGTTGACTGTCTGTAGGGAAGCTGCTGGCTCTTATTACCCTCACTTTGAACGGTGGTGGGACTACATTATGTAAAGGTGTTCTGCATCCTGGGGCTGGGGGAAGAAGAGGCTTTGTTTTATTAACCTGGCAGTTCGCAGCAACTTGATTTGAAATTGATGTGATCAGAACAGTAATGCCGTATAGGCTGATTGCCTAGATAGAAAGAATATTGGCTGACACGGAGCCTGGCACAAATGTTCCTTAAAGCTGATTGTTCTGCCTAGCAGGAAGCTGAAAGCCATCCAGCATGAATTTCCCAGTAGAATGGCAATGAATGATGAGTGGTTAGAGATAAATGAGAAGTAAGAAAATCCATAAATGAATTAATAAGGAGAAGAGATGAGCAATATACCAGGTGGGGGTGACAGAGATAGAATATATAGAATGCACGTCTGCTCACATTTGGGGGGTGACAGAGGAAGATGACATGCATTCTTGGCTTCTATATGCTGATCACCTGCTGTTCTTGTGTGCCCTTTAAATTATGTTAGCAGAGGTGAACTGTGTAATATGACTGTATGATGAGTCTGTGTATCAGGCATACGTATTGTTGGTGAGCCTGTGTGGGAAATGGAAAGGGCGGCACAGTTTTCATTAAAAATAATCACTTTATTCACTCTTTCCTTGGAACCTTACAACAAATGCAGTTCTCTCTATACCAGAACCATGTGTATGTATGTGTTGAGATAGGGAAATGTTGGGGACAAAGTGTTAGGGCCCTATCTTACATGGTTTAGTTATTGAAATACCAAAAATTCCCCTCAATGTGAGGTGACCATTGCCATGGGCACCATTCATGAAGAGTCAGGATATGAGCCAGGAAAGCTGGCCTCAGAGCAAAAATGCTGGGTAGTGATTTTCGTTGATGAAAGATCACAGTAAGTAGGCAATATTTGAGATACCATTTAGATACTTTATAAAGAATCTTTTAAATTATCTCATTCAACCTATATATTAACTTTATGACACGGGGACTGTAATCATCACTCTTGTTTATAAGTAAATGGAGGCAGAGAAAATGCAATCATTTTTTATAAGATTACAAAGCTAATAAGTGTCAGGATTAGGATCTGCATTCTAGAGTGTGAAGTCTTTTAACTGGAAACTGTTGTGTGTTTCTAGAAAGATCAGCATTCAGGCTTCTATTTGATTGTGGCCAAGTAGTAACCATAAGATAGAAGCCCATTAGAGAGCAGCATAAATCATATTAGACTATACCTACCTACAGAAAAGATCAGACAGGAAGAAGAAAATGGTCTGGGAAAGAGCCAACATAAACAGAATCAGCAGATGATGGCTTTGGACCTGTTCACCAACTAAGTCCTGAGCCTGCAGTTTAAACACATTCAGCCTGTGTTATCCTGAAACTCCCAGTTTTGCCTGGTGGATGTGTTCATGCAAGAGAATCCTAGAAACAAGTGTCCTAAAATTCTGTCATTCCTGAGGAACACAAATTCTCCAGTGGCATCATGTGGAGCAGGTCACAGAAGACAGCAGGCCTGATGGTGGCCGGAGCAAAAGAGCTGTGATGTGTGTGTCTGAGACATGTGGTTTCTAGTGTATCCATCTGGAGTGGATGATGATACAGAGTCTGACAGCTTTGGGCAATATCCTCCCTCCTCTGGGAAGGGGATATTAATTAATGATGATGACGGGCCCTTTGGTTTAATGGACAATGACAGTTCACCCCAGTCAATCAGAAGGGGTTGTGTTGAGAATGAAGCCACCTGGCTACAAATTCAGAATGCACAGAACGTATGCATGCATGAGTGAGGCACGGTGGGGGGTATGACAGACATAATTGGTGACTGGTGCGTGTTGTTACACACCTAGTGTCTTCTGTATGTTATGAGCACCTCTCTCTAAAAGAGAAAGCTCCACAACTCTGATGATGTAGCTACACCTCGATTCTTGGGAAAAGACTACCTCTTACAATCCAGCATAAGAGGTAGGGAAGAAAATTCCTCTCCCATTTAGGACATAGTTATTGCAAGACAGAATATGCCCTCTAATTATTTAAGGTGATTCTCTCCCTAGGTAGGTGAGTGCTGCCTGACCAAGACAACAGGGAAGGAAAAAGTACTTAGTCTTTTTTGGCAGTGGGTTCTCTGATGACAAAGGCACTTGCTGGGTGTGTGTCTCTCTGGCTGGGATCCTCTCTTTAGAACAAAAAATATCCTGTCTCCAAAGACATGGTGGCAATATGTTCTCTTTCCCTCCGTTGTCATTGATTCATTTCTTAAATTCTCTTCTAAGTTTGACATTTCAGATTCATAATTAAAGTCTGAGATAGGGTGGGAGGAATCAGCTCCCAGTCAGCATCAGAGAAATAAGCAAAAATTCCTGTGCAGGAATCTTTCTAACATGGCCACCATGTGGAATGTATGAAAGATTTGGGGTAGGAGAGCACCTTCTAGGGATGACTATTAAGAAACAAAGGAGATATCTGGAGTTCTTTCTTTAAATCACCAAAGAAATCTAAGTCCCAGTACCTGGCATATTCTGACACTCAAAACAAACCTGCAGAGTGAATGTATACTTCCTTAGAAATTCTAAGTACTATTTTCCTGGTACTTAGAATGCATAAATGATGGATATTAAAAATATTAATTGAACAACTACTGAGTACATGTACTGAAGAATGAATAAAAAGCAATTTCCTGTAATGTCTACATATGACATTTCTCTCAGGATACATTTCTCTCAGGATGAGAGAGATGTTTGAAGAACTAGTATTGCCGAAGGGTTAGGTTCTTGGATTCTCAAGTTAGACACACTGATGTGGAATCCATTCCTAACGTTCTTGGGGGAATGACCTTAGAGTGATTGGCCCCATCCAGACTTTGGTTCTTGCATGTGTAGAATGAGGACGCAATGAGTCTACCACTTACACTGCATGGAGAGATGGATGTGCGCTTGCTTGCAAAAAGCCTTTCATGTCATGTCTGACATTTCTTAAGTATTTAATCAATTTGGGGCACTATGAATTTGTTCACTCTTCTAATACAGAATTCTTACTACCTATTTCACTGAAAGCAAAAGTAGCACTTCTTGTATAAAGTGACTTTCAATTATTAATTTCAATGAGAGAATATGGTGGATTGAATGCTAATCCAGAAGTTATACCCGAGTGAAACATGATGATGTGAGAGATGACAGGAGAAGCTAGGAAGAATTCACATGTGGTAAGAAGTTTGAGTACCAGACACATTTCAGAGAAGAAGAGTTGGGGACAGTCAGTATTAAAAGAGAGGTTCTGGTTTCTGGTAAAGACTTCCTGAGCTGGGTCTTGAAGGATGGGTAGGGAGAGATCAGCATTGGGATGCTGTCCCGGGGAATGGGGGAGCCTTCACGATGAAAGAAAGGAAGAGAAGAGAAGTAAGGGTGGCTTTGAGGCTGTCATCCTGAGGTCAGTGCTTTGTGTTGTCTTGAAGTTTGAACTCTGACACTTCATGTTGAAAAATCTCATCAACGTGGTATTTTTGGCTTGTAGGATGTTAAGAGAATAAGAAATAATTACTAGTCAACTTTGAAACCTTTGGTATCATTTCCCGCATATGACAAAGACATAAAAGTGGCTTCTCAATATACTTGGCATCTTTGTGCAGAACTGAGACAGGCAGAAAAGGTAATAGCAGCTCTTCTCTGAAGGGAGACAGACTGCCAGCACTGGGATGTGCCATCTCCATAGGCATATCTTCCTGACCTCTGTGTGTATGTGAAGGCATGCTTCCAGTGGGAATACTAGTCCACCCTCCACCCCACAACCTGCCCTGTCATCCCACCACAGCCCACCCCAGTGCACAAATGGGTTCATGATGTGCATGCAGAGGAAGTTGTCTGGAAATGTGTCCCCTCATCCTCAGCAGAAACCTAGACCTTAAACATAAACACACACACATTAATACATATATGCATACATGTACACACGTATGCACACACATACACACATGTACACACATATTCCACATTTTGGGTACTAATACTGCTTCCTTGGTATCCAGAGTCCACAGTAAGAGGGTAGAAGTTCTAGAAACATGAGACCTCATAACAGGCATGCACTGAGACAGGAAGATGGGCTTCTCAGGCTCAGGGAAAGGAACCATGAGTGGCACAAAAACCTAAGAGCAGGCAAGGGTGACCATCTTTGCAGACCAAGCCAAAGAGGCCTAAGTAAACAGATAAATAAATAAAATAAAAATACCCTCCAAATGGGATTTTCCCAGATTAAGTGCCTTGGCCACAAGAGGAAAATAAGCAGACCTTCTTCAGCTCTATCTTATTGTGATACATCCCCTTGGCTTGGCTAAATTTTTACTCCTCAAGATAAACCTGATGGCCAGGTTGCCAGAGATGAATTTCAAAGCTCTAGGGGCATTTGATAAAGCCAGACAAGCAGGGACCAGTAAAGTCACCCACTTCTGCAAATCAAACTCACCAGCTTCTAAACATGCGTAGCTCTGTTCTGACACCTGGGCCAAAAGAGGAACGGGGCAGGTGGGGGTGGAAACTAGAATAGGTGATTTTTTTTTCCTTCTCTATGTCCTGTAAACTTCTAGAGTGTTGCATTGTCCTTGTTTGGTACTACTCTGGAGGGAAGACAGGTACCACTGTGGGAAAATTGTGATTTATGAAATCAGAGCTTTAAAGAATTGTCAATATAGTGTCATTTAAATATGTAACAGCCTCTCGAACATATGCAAGGCCAATATGGGCTTCCCTGGCGTGTAATCCTTATGGAGCCGGTGTAGTGAATAAATAAACGTTGTTTGCAATTAACATACCATTGTTAAGAGGTAGAGTATTCCTGGAAATTTACATCTTCCACATTTGTGGAGGATCCACAGTATGTAAAAAAAGTATTCTGGCTACTGTTACAGGCCCCAAATGAAGCTTGTTTTCCTAAGTAGTCCAAGGTATTCCCACCAGCAGCTCATTTATACCATTTATTTGCTTAACAAACTTGTTGTTGCAAAAGAGTACAAAGTTGGCTCAACTCTAAATTATCCCAGATGACAAAACAGCCGGTACGAACTAATGAGGTTTGACTGTGTCAAAAGCAAAGGCAAAACATGCGTGTTCTATTGATTGAAGCCCAACCTCTTTGAATTGACAAAGTCAGAGCCGTATTTGCTGAAAGAATGTCAGAAGTCTAACAGATTTGGATGTGAACCCCAACTGGTTGTTATCCTCAGCAATTAGATTTTATTTATGCCTCAGTTTCCTCATCTGTAGAATCAGGATGATAGGTGCTGTTTATAGCAAATATTGGAGGTTTTACCTAAAAAGGATTGGGTTTAGTGTTTTGTACATAGCAAGGACTGATAACCATGGTTTCATCCTTCTGCTTAAATTTTTTCATATTATAATATAAAGGACCTGAGTTAAGTTAAATGGGTTCAGGTATGCTTTCTGGCTTATTCACTGACCCTCTGTCTGTGCTCCAGAAAGCCACTTAATCTAAGTTTCTATTCCCTCATCCTCAGATGAGGCCATATCTCCTTGGCTTTTGTGAGGATTAAATGAGATGACCTTTGCAGACTGTTAGAATGCACCTGTCAACACTTTTCAGACTCTTCTCACTACCAAGTTTTCTTGGAATGTTATAATTTAAAGTAGAGTCATTTATGCATAAATATGTTTAATTCTAAAACACATGAAAAATATGACAGACAATTAATGATTTGTTCCTGCACCGTTTTGGCAGCTTCTTTATCGTTGCCTCTTTCCTAAGATATAAAAGAGGAAAAGTACTCATGTTTGCAGAGTCAAACAAACAGTAAGGGCTGTTTGTGGTAGGATTAATAGTATTATAGAAATTGAGGAGGAAGTGTTTGACCATTTAGGAAAACCGCTACTTCTTTATGTTTAAAAGCTGTTCTCATTTGCTTAATGTATTTTGGTAGTTTAATGGGTCTTTTACAGAAAAAAAAAGTGATAGTCATTGGATCCAGAGTTTGCACTGACCTCTTTTAATTGCCCAAGGCTGTAAATAGTGCAGTGATTTCATCATTAACAGCAAGGGCTGTGAAACCACAGCGCTCTGAGTTAAAATCCTTGGTCTACCATTTACCATCTATATGACATTAGGTGTTGTGATCCTGGGCAGCTCACTTTACCTGAATAAGCCTCAGTTTTCTCATTTGTGAAATAGAGTGAGTGATATTTACCCAAAAGGACTATTGCAATAATTAAATGAGATAAAGTATTTAAGACTATGAGCGCTTGCCTAAAATAAAATAAAAGTTGTCATTGTTAAGTCGCTAAGTCTTGTCTGACTCTTGGTGACCCCATGGACTATAGCACACCAGGCTTCTCTGTCCTCCACTGTCTCCTGGGGTTTGCTCAAATTCAGGTCCATTGAGTTGGTGATGCTTTCTAACCATCTCATCCTTTGCCACCCTCTTCTCCTTTTACCTTCAATCTTTCCAAGCATCAGGGTCTTTTCCAGTGAGCCAGTGCTTCGTTATCAGTTGGCCAAAGTATTGTACTCCCTATTTGTTTATCATTTGCCAAGCAAGGAACCAAGAGCACCAGAGTTTATCTCTAGGCAACTGTAAGCTACTGTCAACCTACCTTAGAGGAGATAAGAAGGCTGTCAAACTTGCATTGGGCCCCCCCACCATAGGGGACATGGGGCTAATGCATTGTCTCTCACAGCCCAGGGAGTCGTACGTAAGCACAACCCTCACTCTCTTTCCTCCAAGACAAGTGCTCACAGTTGAATTTGATGGTCTGGTTTCTTTTTTAAGTAAAATAATTATACTTCTTCTCAAATTGATGTATTTTTCAGCCATGTCAATTTTTCCCAGGTAGCAGGGATAAAGGGAATGTTCTTGGCTAACAAGAAGACTGACAACCAGGTCAAGACTTTCATCACATACAACAAAGGCAGAGACTGGCGTTTGCTGCAGGCTCCGGACACAGACCTACGGGGGGACCCTGTGCACTGCTTGCTGGTGAGTCTTCACATGGGGCTGAAATGCCCCACGTAGTGAGGCCTGGAGACGGAGGTCATTAACCAGATGCATATGGTCCCAGGGCTTCTTGCTCAACTGATGAACAGGAGCGGATGCGGAAGGGTGTGAAGGTGGTTGCAGGAAAGAGTCACAGCTTTGCCGCTTGTGATGGACCAAAGCTGTAAGAGAACATAAGTAATTTTCTTGCTTATTTCCAAGGATGTTCAGTTGCTGTCCAATTTCTGATGAGGACCACATATTGTAGTTTAAGGGAGAGTATGATAGTTTCCATTTGTAGTGGGAAAAGATACCCTTACTTTCTCATGAAAAACCTGTTAAGGAGCTAATGACACATAAATTCAGCTGTAAAGCTGATGGACTGAATATAGAATTGTGTAAGTGTATTTCCCAGTGGACATGCTTATTCATATTTTCAGAGAAATTTATGCCTCAAACAGAGGTAAGGACCACTGATTTAAATCCTTAATCAGTACTCTTTATAATATATTCCATTCATTTATGCCATTATATAAAGCTGGTATGGATAAACTATGGTCTGTGGGGCCAATCTAGCCCACTGCTTGTTTTCTAAATAAAATTTTATTGGAACGTAGTAATGCGTATCCGCCCATATGTTGTCTATGGATGCTTTTGCCCTACAGTGGCTTAATTGAGTAAGACAGAAACTGTGTGGCCCATCAATGAGATATTTATTATCTGATCCTTAAAAACACATTTTTTGACCCCTACTTTGAAATATGGCTTTTAAAAACTTGTCTAACATTGGGGCAGCAAATAGGTCAGATCAAAGTCTCTTTGTATTTGATTATGGTGTCCAAGAGAGGAATCACAAATGTGTCTTGCCTTCAAGGAGTTTTCTGTCTACTTGAGAGAGAATAGATTAGTGAGTGAATGATTATAAGGTCACATCCTAGTTTTCTTAGTATTTATGATACCTTCCCTGTACTTGACACATGAATTTGATACTGAGTGAATGAAGGAGGGGAGGCAGGGGTTAACTGTAAAATAATATATCATTAAATGCTAATTTCTAGAAAACAAATCCAAAGTTTCATTTGAATTCATAAAAGGGAGAGAGCAGTCTGTAAAGCTAGAGGAGAGACCTCCTAGTTTTAGTAAGCAGGGCTTGATATATACCAATTATGCACACTCACCAGACAATCCCAGGTTTGTTTAATGTCATGCACACGGAGCATGCTTCCTTCTGCCCCGTGAAGTCTGAGCAGTCACTTTGCAGGTTCATCTTCTACAGCTGTAGGCAGGTCACCCTCCCAATGGAGAAGATGCCACAGCCACAGCTTGACCTTATTAGCTGCAGAGGCTATCACAGTTGTCATCATGTATCAGGGGAAACAGTCTGAAATTCCGCCTCCCACTCAGCTTATATTCTTATTAGTGGCAACTTACAGGGGGGAGAAAGCCAGCTGTTATTCAGTACACAAATCCAGTTACAGAGTAAGTGAATGTAGCAGTTATGTATTGAATGTCTATTCTATGCAAGGCATATAGCATTTTAAGCAAATATTTATTTTTAATTGATTGATGATTTGTTTACAACATTGGTTTGACTCCTGTCATACATCCACATGAATTAACCATAGGTGTACATGATGTCCTCTCTCTTGAATTTTCCTCACACCTCCTGCCCATTCCCACCCCTCTAGATTATTACAGAGCACCAGTTTGAGTTCTCTGAGTCATATAGCAAATTCCCACTGGCTATTTATAAGGCAAATAGCATTTTAAAAACATGCCCACCTCCCTCATTCTGCTGTTCCAAGTTGAAGCCAAACATGCAGGAGATGTCCCAGTGCCTTAATGCTGTCTTCCATCCCATCATGCATGTTGATGACTGAATGCCCATGAGAAAAAGTCAACTGTATCACCTAAAGAGGCTTTCCTGGGTGCTCTGGCATCATAAATGGACCATTAGAAATGCCTCTTACACAAAGCACTTAGTGAGACATTCCTTGCTCCTCTCCCAGCCCAGAGTTAGGAAGTCTAACTGCTGTGCCTCCAAATTATAAATGCCGTATCAGCTTACATCCCCATCTCCAGAGACCATCCTAATACAAGCATCATCATTCCTTGCTTTCCCTACAGTGACAGTTGCTCCTCCTGTCTCTACATGGCAACTTCATCTCACCATAGCAGCCAATGCAATCTTCCCCCCCCCTTAAATCTAACTTCATTGAGTTGAAATATGCATACATAAAAGCATTTTAAGAGTTTAGTGATAAATCTTGACAAATGTATAGGCCCATGTAATGGCTACCACAGTCAAGATACAGCATTTTAATCACTCTAAAAAATTGCTCTGTGCCTCTTCACAGTCAGTACCCACACCCTTGGCCCTAGACAACCTCTGATTTGCTTTCTTTCATGGGGGATCAGATTGTTCTTTCCTAAAATTTTACATAAAGGTGTCAACTTGAATTTTAAAAATTCAGACCATGTCCTTCCTTTACTTAACCTTCTAATGACTTTCTAATTCAGATGGAATCAAATTCAGATACTTGACTGTTGCCTGAAAGATTCTGCATGTTCTGGCCCTTGTCCATTTCTCCTACCTGGTCTCTGGACTCTCTCTTTCCTTACACACTGGCCATGGTGACGGAGGAGATCACTCCTTTCCATTCCATTAGCTCACCATACCCTTTTATGTTTTAGGCTCTGTTTCTGCCATTATATTATCTCTCTTAAAATGCCCTTCTTCCAGTATGACTTTTTCTTGGCATTCAGATCCTTGTTTGAGAACCTTCATCTCAGGAGCTTCCTTGGGCATCCTTTGAAACTGCACTTGGTCCAGTGTTTTTTTATTCAGGATCTTTCTCACTCTGAAATCAGCACATGCATCTGTTGACTTGCTAGTATATCTCCTCCCACTCACTGTGAGCTCCACAAGCATAGGGACCATGGTGCTCTTTTTGGTCACTCCAAAGAGTTAGCTCAAGAGCCATACTTGACACATGGTGGGTGCTTAACACTTATGTTGTGGAGGGTGTTGTCTTTGTTTCAGGCAGACATGCCATGGACAGATGTTTGGGTTTCATATTTGGACTTTAGTGGAAGCCTTTCCTTGCCATTGATAGTCACACTGAAAAATTTGTTATAATAGCCACCTTCTGAAGTTCATGTGCATCAGTTGATCCCACAGCTAACAGAATCACTAGGTTCATTGAGACTGAGGAAAAATCAATGAAGGAGATATAGATATATGGTACTCAAGAGTCTTTTGGCCCTCTTCCCTCTTTAATCCTATTATTTAATGTAGTTTAAATCTGAGCTTTAGAAAACAGGCAGTAGAATGAGGAGAAGAAAATGAAAAAAGGAAGAAGAAACAAACAAACAAACAAAACTATACAGCTCTGCCAAGGCACAGAGTAAGGAAGATTTTTGAGCTTCAGGAGACCCAGACTGTTAAAAACTTCCTTAGGTTTGGGAGCTGGTAGCAGAGAGGAGATAAAAAGAGATTTTAGATTGTGAATACTTGGAAAGTGACAGTGTCACTGGAAACACAGCCTAGTGATTAGAATAGAGATTTTTTTTTTTTTTCCCAGCAGGGTTGTTGCAAATGTGGAACAAGTTCAGAATTACAGCCCCAAATGGAATGTTCCTGGTAAAATATATTATATAGAAATAAGACATCCAGGGTAATCTGGGCTGTATTTTTAGGACTTTTACACTGATTGCCTGGAGGGCTCAGCTGGGATTTCTTTCCCCTGAAGACCACATTATACATTTACATGGGGTGTTATAGGTCATGGTCCATCTGACTGCAGAACCTCAGGATTGGGGTCCCTTGAGGCAAAATGTGAGCTGAGCCTGTGACAAATCCTTGGGCCCCGAGGGACAGCCTAGTGTTTCATGGAGAGAAACCATGCCTTCTTGATGGGTTCAGTTGGCAGCTTCCTACTGGAGCTAAGCTGCAACTGCCCTAGGAGACTCGACCCTGCTTCCTGCTCCTCTGCACTGGTTGCAACTTCCCATATTCTGCTGAATCTAAGCAGTGCTGAATGCCCTACACCCAGCCAGCTGACTGGGGGCCACCCTCTTCTTTGTCCCCGACTCCTTACAAAAACTTCAATGGATCCCACGCTGCAACTCAGGATCAGAAACTGTACAAGTGTGTGTGTAGGATGTCTTGTGTGTGTAGGATGTCTTGTGTGTGTAGGGTGTCTTGTGTGTGTAGGATGTCTTGTGTGTGTAGGGTGTCTTGTGTGTGTAGGGTGTCTTGTGTGTGTAGGGTGTCTTGTGTGTGTAGGATGTCTTGTGTGTGTAGGGTGCCTTGTCTGTGTAGGATGTCTTGTGTGTGTAGGATGTCTTGTGTGTGTAGGATGTCTTGTGTGTGTAGGGTGTCTTGTGTGTGTAGGGTGTCTTGTGTGTGTAGGGTGTCTTGTGTGTGTAGGGTGCCTTGTGTGTGTAGGATGTCTTGTGTGTGTAGGATGTCTTGTGTGTGTAGGATGTCTTGTGTGTGTAGGATGTCTTGTGTGTGTAGGATGTCTTGTGTGTGTAGGGTGTCTTGTGTGTGTAGGGTGTCTTGTGTGTGTAGGGTGCCTTGTGTGTGTAGGATGTCTTGTGTGTGTAGGGTGTCTTGTGTGTGTAGGGTGCCTTGTGTGTGTAGGATGTCTTGTGTGTGTAGGGTGTCTTGTGTGTGTAGGGTGTCTTGTGTGTGTAGGGTGTCTTGTGTGTGTAGGGTGCCTTGTGTGTGTAGGGTGTCTTGTGTGTGTAGGATGTCTTGTGTGTGTAGGATGTCTTGTGTGTGTAGGGTGCCTTGTGTGTGTAGGATGTCTTGTGTGTGTAGGATGTCTTGTGCGTCTAGGGTGCCTTGTGCGTCTAGGGTGTCTTGTGCGTGTAGGGTGTCTTGTGCGTGTAGGGTGTCTTGTGCGTGTAGGGTGTCTTGTGCGTGTAGGGTGTCTTGTGCGTGTAGGGTGCCTTGTGCGTGTAGGGTGCCTTGTGCGTGTAGGGTGCCTTGTGCG